TTCTGTGAAGATTGACAGCCTTGGAGACCCTGTGGTGCAGTTCCACTCTGTCCTCTAGGGGCGCTGTGGGTCAGAATGGACTCCAGGCAGTGGGTGTGGTTTGGGCTTTGCTGCCATGAAGACTGACAGCCCTGGGAGCCCTGCAAAGTGGCTCGTGGGTTCCAACCACCAACCTTTCTGTTAGGAGCTGAGTGGTTAACCACTGTGTCACCAGGGCTCCCAGCTTTCCAATGACTGCCTCCCTCTCTCTGTCTCAATACTCTAATGGCATCCCGCAGTCTGAGGGCGTGAACTCTCTGAGCCCCTGGGACATGCCTTCCTTCAGGCCACAGGCTGGTGGAGATTAGCCATAGGATGTTCAGGTTGTTTTCATCGAGTCCAACACAGATGCTGCCTGGAAGTTGTTCAAGTCTGGCCTCAGTCCCTCCTGTCAGGGCTTCTGGGTCACTTCCTCTTGTGGTCCCAGGTGTGCACACACGTACTGTTCCCCATCCCTCTCGACGTGCCCACCCCACTCCCACCAGCGCCCTTTACCTGGCTCTCCCACTTGCCTGACTTGTAAACTTGCACACACACACACCACACAGACCAGACCAGATAGACATACACAGTGCACCAGTCAGACCACACACACAGAGAGACACACAGGCCACACAGAGACAGACAGACACAGACCACACAGAGACAGACCACACCAACCAGACCACATACAGACACACAGATAACACACACCACAGACAGACATACAAATTCACAGACACACACACATACACGTACACACTATCCACAGAGATGTACAGGCACAGACAGACAAACAGGCACACAACAAACATACCAGACACCCGACACTACACACAGACCTACAGACACACAGACACACACCCACACTCACACAGAAACGTACCGCACAGGTCACCCCCGCAGACAGACACGTGGACACACACACACAGACATGAAGTGGGCGCAGCAGCAGCCCGCGGCAAAGATGGCAGGGCCGTACCCGGCAGGAAGCTGATCTGGGCGGCGCGCCCTGTGCTGGGCTGGAGGCCTGGGAGCAGGTGGGTGAGCTGTGGGAGGTGGAACACGGTCACCTGCAGGTGTGGGTGCTCCTGGGCGAGTGCGTGGGCCAGCGCCCCCGTGCAGCCTGTGGGGGCAAACGCGGAAGCTGTCCCTGACTCTGCTGGGGCCGTGGGAAGCCCTCCGGGGCCGTGGGAAGCCCTCCCGAGCCCTGCGCATCCCCTTCACGCTGAACCACAGGAGGCCCGAGAGCTCGGCAGTGGGGCCTTCCCGTCAGTGAAGTCATGTGCAGGGACAGTGGCCGGGGACCCACGCTCAGGGCCTTCTGGGACCCAGGTGAACTCCGGGAGGAACCCGGCCGTGGGGGAGAGAGCAAGAGCCCCGGAGGGTCCCTGGGGCCGCAGCGGGGCCCGTGGGGGAGAGAGCAAGAGCCCGGAGGGTCCCTGGGGCCGCAGCGGGGCCCGCGCGCTTCCCTTCTCGTCCAGCCGGGGAATGATGGCGCCAGGGCCGCCACCCTGCGCCACGAGGAGGCAGACTGTGGTGAGGACGAGAAACCAAAAGCTGCAAGGCTTGGGGGCCCCTGGAGAGGGCGGACCCCCACAGGGGTCTAGACGTGCAGAAGGGAGAGAACAGGCCAACAGTCTGCCTGGTTACGCGCCAGGGAAGCAGTCCACGGGGAGAGACGGGAATAGGAAGAGGCCACGCACCTCCCAGCTCGCAGGCAGAGGTGAAGCCGGACAGGTCGAAGGCCGTGGCCACGGCTCGCGCACTCAGCTTGCTGAGGTCGTGAAGGCCGCGAAGGAAGTGCAGCTGGGCCTCCTGGCTGCGGCAGCAGGGGTCCTGCGATGGAACGGGGGCTGAGCAGGGAGCGGCCCGGGGGGCGGCTGCGGGGTCTCTGGTCCACAGGGAACAGCCCAGCTGCGCCCCCACCTCTGTGGGTGGGTGCTGTGGAGGGCACAGACTTGCAGGCTGCCCGTTGGTTCCGCGTTACAGGGCCTCCCAACATGCATGTGCACCCTGAACCGCAGACGGGGACCTCGTTTGGAAATGCAGTCTTTGCGGATGTAATCGGTGAGGGAAGGAGCCCCGCCCATGCGATGGTAAGCAGCACTCAGCTGCTAAACCAAAGGTGGTCAGTTCAAACCCCACCCAGGAGCTCCAGGAAAAAAAAGACCTGGCTGTCTGCGACTGTAAATACGGCAGCCTTGGGAACCCAGGAGCTCTGGTGGCGTAGTGCTGAAGGCACTTGACTGATCACCAGAAGGCGGGCAGTTCAAACCCACCAGCCACTCCTCAGAAGGCAGGTTAGGCGATCCCAAGGAAACCCAAGGAGGAGTTGCTATGAGTCAGATCCAACTCCACAGCAGTGGTTGCGTTTGTGTTGTATATTGGAAACTGTATGGGGCAGTTCCACTCTGTCCTCTAGGGGCGCTGTAGGTCAGAATGGACTCCACGGCAGTGGGTGTGGTTTGGGCTTTG